ATTTTAGGTTTGATTGTTGTAACTGCTGTATCCTTTAAATGCACATGGTGTGTTTGCCACTGAATCATTGATCACTGAATTTAGTGATCCTACTGGCCGTATCCTATAGGAATATTCAGTGTCACAGTTTGCAGAAACACGAATGAATTATGTATGAAATACTGTATGTTCCCGTCAATAGACCTTTAAAAATGAACTGGAAAGCTACATTAAGGGGATAAGTTATAGGAAATGGGCAATAAGCACTAGAGTGATGTGAAAATATCTCCTGAAAGGAAAATATATGGTGTTTAAGACTAAACAGAACATCTCTTGATGTAAAATTCTGTCCTTACAGCTCAGTGCAGAACTTTCTATGTTGTGAAAATGTAACCATTGATAGAATAACAGGGTGTAGCACTGCACACACCAGCACTTCTGTCTGCTGTATTGCCTGTCGAGACTGCTAATCCAATCAATCAGCAGTCAGTGGAATGCAGCAAGGCAGAGACGTAACCTTAAAGACTCATGAAGACACATTACACGGCTTTATGAAACCTATTCCCAGCTTCTGCACCTCCGCACTGATAATCACATCACTGGACACCTAGATTTAGGGTGTGGATCAATATCTCATTATTGGAATGCAAAAATGCTTTTGTGTTAAATCGTCCTCCAGGGAAACAGAGTAAGAAAAAGACAGAAAAGGAGGACAAAGGAGAAAAGACATGATCTTGGGAAAGTAGTTTGTCTTAATAGAGAATCAAATTGTGTGTTTGTTTTGATTCACGGCAAAGCTAAAAGTTTTGTTCTTGATTCATTTCATGCATGAATTATTTTCATACTTACAGAATACACAGAGTATACATGAAACAAGACACTGGTTGATTTATACACCCTTCATCATCAGTGTTGGATTTCACTTGTTGATACCGCCGCTACAACACTTGATGGATGTCTCCTACATTATCAGGGCATTACCATACATCAGTCATCCACCTCTAAGCTGCTGTAATATTAACAGTCGTTCTTTCGTTACGTTTTGTCTTTTCCAACAGTTAGTGAAAATGAATGTTCAATCATTAATCATTCAAGAAATAATTTTATTTCATTTACTTTGTGATCGAGAGCGATCCCTGAGCCTTTAGTCAACACAATTCATGTTGTCTTTAACATCAGCACTTCTCCACTGGCATTAAAAACAGCAGCTTAAACTGATCAAACACAGCATTTTATTGGATCTCTTTGTAGCTGCAGTATCCCTGGTATATATTGATATTTACACATGAATACAGTTTGTGACTGCAATAGTTTGGCCAATTGTGCAATACACTGCACATTATACCGGTTTAAATACCAGGGGCCATTATTTATGTCTATTCTATTAGTGAATTCTTAGTCAGTGAACTTTTATAGAATTGATTGGTTTAAATAATTGGCAGCTTGAATCCTTTTTAACGTTCTCTATCATGCACATTTTACAAAATTAAGACAAGCCACAATTTTCTGTCTGAAACTCCTCCAAGCCTGAGGGAACTCGGTTTTGTAAAAAAAAAAAACACAATAGAATACAAAATTACAATACAAAATTGAATAAAAGTAATTTTTTGTATATCAATTTTTAAATCAAAAACTTTTCAAAAGCCTGCAGTTATGTTCTAGCAGAAGCTAGATATCACAAACCCGTTAAAGTAATATTAAAATGTCAAACTTGAAAGTTTTGAAGCAGTTTCATTTTAATTTTGAGGATTGATCATGTCTTGCTTGCTAACCAAGATACAATGCAGCTGCGAAATAACAAAAACAGAGCGAGCAACAGAGTACAAGAAAATAATCATCTTCCCTCACTGAGACACTTTTATTGGTTTTTCATCAAAAACTCTATTTCAATTCCCACCAGGCCTCCTCTTTGGTTTATAGCTCTGAGCTACATACAGATTTCACATCTGGTGCCTTGATAAATTCTTGGCAGAGCTAAATGTTTGTCAGACAAAACTCTGGAAAAAGTATCTTATACGTTACATCGTGAACTTTTTTGAATGCACATCATCAAGAGATGGTTACTGTTTTCTGCTTGAGGTGTTTTGGCCGGTGTTTAGGGTTGACACAGATTTAGAAACTCTCTAACCAGGTCCCATGTTTGAGTGATTCTATCTCATATAGAATGCAAGTCTAATCAAAAACCTGCGTCTGTCTTTGTGCACTGTAGCACTTAAAATAAATCGTCCCTCTATCCATTTTGGGGTGACGCCGGCACAGTTCAAGACACCAGGATGTTGAGTAAACTCAGCTGCCTACCAACTGAACTGCCCAGTTTCCCTTTGGAAAGTACACAGAGTACAGCTCCCCATCGGCTTCTCCTGCCGTCCATCAAATATAATGTGTCTGTCTGGAGAACCAGACTCAACTGCCTGAAATATGTGTCCCTCCTCTGAGATAAACACTATCATCTGTCATTGGTGGGAATGGAGGAAGTGACACTGTGACAGACGGCTACATTTCCTCAGAGGAGGTGTGAAGTGGTGTGTGTGTCTGTGTGTGTTGTGTGTGTCTGTGTGTGTGCAGTAAGTGGTTGGTCCCATTTGTCATGGGATTGCTGTGATGATGAAAAACAGATGAGTATCTAAGTTGCAATTTATTTGTTTGTCAGAACAAATATTTTCAGGTTCATTATGGTGGTAGATTATCAGAGTAATTTGTTTGCTTGTTTTATCTCATTTAAACTAGGCTGTTTGTGGAGCTTATGCGAATAGCATTTATTATGGTTTATTTTCTCGATGAGAGAATATCATCTGAGCTGGTTCCTCCTCAAAGAGACCTGTACAAGACACAGAGGCAGCTGTTGGAGTGAGAGGATTTTTCGTAATGACTGCTGAACCTTATTAGTTTTTGTAACAATATTTGCCCATGAGATAAGAAATGAACAATATTGAACCTTGGTAAATTAGCAAAATCCATGATAAGGATACGGTGAACAGAATTTTATGTTTACTTCATGTGGTTTTTACAACTAATTAAAACAATTTCATACACAACATAAGGGGATAATTTTCACTTGTTACCCTTGTCAGAGAGGGTTATGTCTTCATCTGCATTTCTTTGTCTTATTAGTTAGCAGTATTACACAAAAACTACTGGATGGATTATAGCAAAACTTCCACAAAGTATGTAGTAAGGGTCAGGGAGGTTTGGAGTGGATCTGGATCAGGGGGTAGATTTTTTTTTTTCACTTTCTTAAACATTGCAAGATTGTTTCTTTGACGTATTCACCAATTTCCTAGGAAATATTGCATGAATTGAGATTTATAACAACCCAGGTACATTAAGGGAACAGATGAATGTGTACAAATTGGTGCAGCTTGATATAAGAAGACTGTTGGGCCTGGGTGGACGTTTCTGCTCTTTGGAGTGCCATATAGTTCTGTGTATACTTAAGAGAGAAATGTTATTATGAGAAAACTGGTTAATGCAACATTTGTATGTAAATGGTTCTTGAATTTTAGTACATTTTCTTTGACACTGCATAACTAAAATCATTCGTCAAACATTTTTAGTTGTTTTTGTTGTAAAATATAAAAAAGTACGTACATTGAAATAGCATCGTGTTACTGCCAGTTTTCTCAAAACTCAATGTTTATGACTTTTATTTCAGTTGTGTCTTTGCACTTCATTTGAAACGTGCATGTTCTTTATATATATTGAAATTACAGTAAGTATCTCTGACTTCAGCATCATTTTCCTTTATTTCTTTGCTGCAGAGAAAAGAAAATGTCTCGAACCAGTGCTCTGAAGGTGCTGGACCACGGGATGATTGGACCAGAGGGAGCAGATAACTGCCATAAATTTGTGGACATCCTGGGCTTGCGAACTATCTTTCCACTCTTCATGAAAACCCCGAAGAAGATGAAAAAAACTGGGGCATCAGAGAAGGAGCATGAAGGTCAGTCACTATTGTTGTGGCTCATTAGTCTGAACAGTGAAAGCTGCAGTGACAAGCATCATTGTTTTTTGATTGAATCCAATTAGTGCTGTATGAAATGTTACAACAAACAGATATAGGAAACAAACCAATGGAAACACAACCTCTCGGGTAAAATGACTCCAGCGTTTGTGTGTGATAATGACACATTTATTCTCATAATCAGTGGATTTAACAGATACAATGAAAAGAGAGAGTTTATTTTCAGAGTTCCTTCTTGTGCTGGAAAATCTGGATTGTGGAGTAGTTATAGCAAATAACTCAAAATAT